CGACTAAAAAACAGAACCCCCAGAAAACAGAAAGAGTTTGCTTTTGAGTCGACTCAAAAGCAGAACCCCCAGAAAACAGAAAGAGTTTGCTTTTGAGTCGACTCAAAAGCAGAACCCCCAGAAAACAGAAAGAGTTTGCTTTTGAGTCGACTCAAAAGCAGAACCCCCAGAAAACAGAAAGAGTTTGCTTTTGAGTCGACTCAAAAGCAGAACCCCCAGAAAACAGACAGAGTTTACTTTTGAGTCGACTCAAAAGCAGAACCCCCAGAAAACAGAAAGAGTTTGCTTTTGAGTCGACTCAAAAGCAGAACCCCCAGAAAACAGAAAGAGTTTGCTTTTGAGTCGACTCAAAAGCAGAACCCCCAGAAAACAGAAAGAGTTTGCTTTTGAGTCGACTCAAAAGCAGAACCCCCAGAAAACAGAAAGAGTTTGCTTTTGAGTCGACTCTAAAGCAGAACCCCCAGAAAACAGAAAGAGTTTGCTTTTGAGTCGACTCAAAAGCAGAACCCCCAGAAAACAGAAAGAGTTTGCTTTTGAGTCGACTCAAAAGCAGAACCCCCAGAAAACAGAAAGAGTTTGCTTTTGAGTCGACTCAAAAGCAGAACCCCCAGAAAACAGAAAGAGTTTGCTTTTGAGTCGACTCAAAAGCAGAACCCCCAGAAAACAGAAAGAGTTTGCTTTTGAGTCGACTCAAAAGCAGAACCCCCAGAAAACAGAAAGAGTTTGCTTTTGAGTCGACTCAAAAGCAGAACCCCCAGAAAACAGAAAGAGTTTGCTTTTGAGTCGACTCAAAAGCAGAACCCCCAGAAAACAGAAAGAGTTTGCTTTTGAGTCGACTCAAAAGCAGAACCCCCGGAAAACAGAAAGAGTTTGCTTTTGAGTCGACTCAAAAGCAGAACCCCCGGAAAACAGAAAGAGTTTGCTTTTGAGTCGACTCAAAAGCAGAACCCCCGGAAAACAGAAAGAGTTTGCTTTTGAGTCGACTCAAAAGCAGAACCCCCGGAAAACAGAAAGAGTTTGCTTTTGAGTCGACTCAAAAGCAGAACCCCCGGAAAACAGAAAGAGTTTGCTTTTGAGTCGACTCAAAAGCAGAACCCCCAGAAAACAGAAAGAGTTTGCTTTTGAGTCGACTCAAAAGCAGAACCCCCAGAAAACAGAAAGAGTTTGCTTTTGAGTCGACTCAAAAGCAGAACCCCCAGAAAACAGAAAGAGTTTGCTTTTGAGTCGACTCAAAAGCAGAACCCCCAGAAAACAGAAAGAGTTTGCTTTTGAGTCGACTCAAAAGCAGAACCCCCAGAAAACAGAAAGAGTTTGCTTTTGAGTCGACTCAAAAGCAGAACCCCCAGAAAACAGAAAGAGTTTGCTTTTGAGTCGACTCAAAAGCAGAACCCCCGGAAAACAGAAAGAGTTTGCTTTTGAGTCGACTCAAAAGCAGAACCCCCGGAAAACAGAAAGAGTTTGCTTTTGAGTCGACTCAAAAGCAGAACCCCCGGAAAACAGAAAGAGTTTGCTTTTGAGTCGACTCAAAAGCAGAACCCCCGGAAAACAGAAAGAGTTTGCTTTTGAGTCGACTCAAAAGCAGAACCCCCGGAAAACAGAAAGAGTTTGCTTTTGAGTCGACTCAAAAGCAGAACCCCCAGAAAACAGAAAGAGTTTGCTTTTGAGTCGACTCAAAAGCAGAACCCCCAGAAAACAGAAAGAGTTTGCTTTTGAGTCGACTCAAAAGCAGAACCCCCAGAAAACAGAAAGAGTTTGCTTTTGAGTCGACTCAAAAGCAGAACCCCCAGAAAACAGAAAGAGTTTGCTTTTGAGTCGACTCAAAAGCAGAACCCCCAGAAAACAGAAAGAGTTTGCTTTTGAGTCGACTCAAAAGCAGAACCCCCAGAAAACAGAAAGAGTTTGCTTTTGAGTCGACTCAAAAGCAGAACCCCCAGAAAACAGAAAGAGTTTGCTTTTGAGTCGACTCAAAAGCAGAACCCCCAGAAAACAGAAAGAGTTTGCTTTTGAGTCGACTCAAAAGCAGAACCCCCAGAAAACAGAAAGAGTTTGCTTTTGAGTCGACTCAAAAGCAGAACCCCCAGAAAACAGAAAGAGTTTGCTTTTGAGTCGACTCAAAAGCAGAACCCCCAGAAAACAGAAAGAGTTTGCTTTTGAGTCGACTCAAAAGCAGAACCCCCAGAAAACAGAAAGAGTTTGCTTTTGAGTCGACTCAAAAGCAGAACCCCCAGAAAACAGAAAGAGTTTGCTTTTGAGTCGACTCAAAAGCAGAACCCCCAGAAAACAGAAAGAGTTTGCTTTTGAGTCGACTCAAAAGCAGAACCCCCAGAAAACAGAAAGAGTTTGCTTTTGAGTCGACTCAAAAGCAGAACCCCCAGAAAACAGAAAGAGTTTGCTTTTGAGTCGACTCAAAAGCAGAACCCCCAGAAAACAGAAAGAGTTTGCTTTTGAGTCGACTCAAAAGCAGAACCCCCAGAAAACAGAAAGAGTTTGCTTTTGAGTCGACTCAAAAGCAGAACCCCCGGAAAACAGAAAGAGTTTGCTTTTGAGTCGACTCAAAAGCAGAACCCCCGGAAAACAGAAAGAGTTTGCTTTTGAGTCGACTCAAAAGCAGAACCCCCGGAAAACAGAAAGAGTTTGCTTTTGAGTCGACTCAAAAGCAGAACCCCCGGAAAACAGAAAGAGTTTGCTTTTGAGTCGACTCAAAAGCAGAACCCCCGGAAAACAGAAAGAGTTTGCTTTTGAGTCGACTCAAAAGCAGAACCCCCGGAAAACAGAAAGAGTTTGCTTTTGAGTCGACTCAAAAGCAGAACCCCCGGAAAACAGAAAGAGTTTGCTTTTGAGTCGACTCAAAAGCAGAACCCCCGGAAAACAGAAAGAGTTTGCTTTTGAGTCGACTCAAAAGCAGAACCCCCAGAAAACAGAAAGAGTTTGCTTTTGAGTCGACTCAAAAGCAGAACCCCCAGAAAACAGAAAGAGTTTGCTTTTGAGTCGACTCAAAAGCAGAACCCCCAGAAAACAGAAAGAGTTTGCTTTTGAGTCGACTCAAAAGCAGAACCCCCAGAAAACAGAAAGAGTTTGCTTTTGAGTCGACTCAAAAGCAGAACCCCCAGAAAACAGAAAGAGTTTGCTTTTGAGTCGACTCAAAAGCAGAACCCCCAGAAAACAGAAAGAGTTTGCTTTTGAGTCGACTCAAAAGCAGAACCCCCAGAAAACAGAAAGAGTTTGCTTTTGAGTCGACTCAAAAGCAGAACCCCCAGAAAACAGAAAGAGTTTGCTTTTGAGTCGACTCAAAAGCAGAACCCCCAGAAAACAGAAAGAGTTTGCTTTTGAGTCGACTCAAAAGCAGAACCCCCAGAAAACAGAAAGAGTTTGCTTTTGAGTCGACTCAAAAGCAGAACCCCCAGAAAACAGAAAGAGTTTGCTTTTGAGTCGACTCAAAAGCAGAACCCCCAGAAAACAGAAAGAGTTTGCTTTTGAGTCGACTCAAAAGCAGAACCCCCGGAAAACAGAAAGAGTTTGCTTTTGAGTCGACTCAAAAGCAGAACCCCCGGAAAACAGAAAGAGTTTGCTTTTGAGTCGACTCAAAAGCAGAACCCCCGGAAAACAGAAAGAGTTTGCTTTTGAGTCGACTCAAAAGCAGAACCCCCGGAAAACAGAAAGAGTTTGCTTTTGAGTCGACTCAAAAGCAGAACCCCCAGAAAACAGAAAGAGTTTGCTTTTGAGTCGACTCAAAAGCAGAACCCCCAGAAAACAGAAAGAGTTTGCTTTTGAGTCGACTCAAAAGCAGAACCCCCAGAAAACAGAAAGAGTTTGCTTTTGAGTCGACTCAAAAGCAGAACCCCCAGAAAACAGAAAGAGTTTGCTTTTGAGTCGACTCAAAAGCAGAACCCCCAGAAAACAGAAAGAGTTTGCTTTTGAGTCGACTCAAAAGCAGAACCCCCAGAAAACAGAAAGAGTTTGCTTTTGAGTCGACTCAAAAGCAGAACCCCCAGAAAACAGAAAGAGTTTGCTTTTGAGTCGACTCAAAAGCAGAACCCCCAGAAAACAGAAAGAGTTTGCTTTTGAGTCGACTCAAAAGCAGAACCCCCAGAAAACAGAAAGAGTTTGCTTTTGAGTCGACTCAAAAGCAGAACCCCCAGAAAACAGAAAGAGTTTGCTTTTGAGTCGACTCAAAAGCAGAACCCCCAGAAAACAGAAAGAGTTTGCTTTTGAGTCGACTCAAAAGCAGAACCCCCAGAAAACAGAAAGAGTTTGCTTTTGAGTCGACTCAAAAGCAGAACCCCCAGAAAACAGAAAGAGTTTGCTTTTGAGTCGACTCAAAAGCAGAACCCCCAGAAAACAGAAAGAGTTTGCTTTTGAGTCGACTCAAAAGCAGAACCCCCAGAAAACAGAAAGAGTTTGCTTTTGAGTCGACTCAAAAGCAGAACCCCCAGAAAACAGAAAGAGTTTGCTTTTGAGTCGACTAAAAAGCAGAACCCCCAGAAAACAGAAAGAGTTTTCCCAAGCTGAAGCGCATCGTATATTCCTTTCCTCCCATCCCTACTCCTCACCCCACCCTGCCGTTTCTCAAGCTGAAAACTCTCTCGATCAGAAGCGGCCTTGTTACAGCGTCAATGCTCCACTACAAGTACGGAGGTGATTCAGGGCCTGACCGAAAAAACTCCTGAGGCGCCTAGAAAATTCAGGGCCTGCCTATAATAACTACCTTCAGAAAAACCCCTTCCGTCCTCACCCCACCCTGCCAGGTCCCTAGTTGAAGGATCCTCCTCTTATTCAATGAATGATCCATACTTGACTGAGAGAGAAAGTGGTGGCAAGTCAAGGCTTGCGGCGAGAGGCTTGCGGCGAGAGGCTTGCGGCGAGAGGGGAGGGGCGAAAGGGGAGGGGCAAGGGACAAGAGGGAAAGGGACGTGGAAGAGAGAGGGCCAGGGTAAGAGGACACGGGAAACGGAGGGGTAGAGGGAAAGGAAAAAAGTAGCTGAAAACGAGAGGATTGAAGCATGTGCACCATCCATCCATGTTCCTACTTCACTCACCACAAACACATCAATCCACCATTTCCCCACTCCTTCCCCTTCCCCCATCTTTCCCCCATCCTTCCCCACTCCTTCCCCCATCTTTCCCCGTTGGCCCGAGCCACATTTACTCTCTCCGCGCTCTGCAACCTCCACCCACTCACAGCAGCAGATAAAAGGAGTGTTTTGAGACGTCTCAAAACACCCACAGCACCAGAACCCGATCCTCAGCTTTCATTCGCTTCGATACAGTGTCCCGCCGTACTACTTAGTTTCAGCATTCAGCAAACCTTTACTTACCTAAACGTAAGCCTCAAGTACGTCTCTCCCATCCCATCCCCAGCCCCCCACCCCATCCCACCCCACCCCACCCCACCCCTCCAGAGCACACACCTCAGGCTGGTAACGATGATGAGTGCGTGGAGCCGGCCAGGTGGTTGCCTTGTTACAATGGCCCATGACAAGCCTCAAGCTCTTTCCTTCCTTCCCCACCCCACCCCACCCCACCCCACCCTGCCAGGGCACGGGCCTCAAGCTGGTCTCGGTCGAGAGTGCCAAGAGCCAGGTGGTCGCCGGCGTCAACTGGAGCATCACTCTGAAAGCCGCCGTTGCCCCTGTAGCTCGCCCCTTGGGACGCCACCGCCGCGCATCCCCACCCGTGACCAGCACCTATGTGGCGGAGGTTTTTCAGAGCCTGACGCCGGTGGTAGGAGAGCCAACGGTTGCAGCACAGCGGGGGGACGCGGCTCAACCTATGGGTAATGGGCAGCCGGCGGTGGGCGGACAGCCGTCAGGTGCGGCGCAGCCGGTGTTGGCAGATTATCTCGTGCTGGTCTCCTTTGTGAAGAAGAAATGAGACTGTGAGCGACTTTTGAGGCGCCTCAAGAAATTTCGGGTAATGAGACGACTTTTGAGGCGCCTCAAGAAATTGCGGTTGATGAGACGACTTTTGAGGCGCCTCAAGAAATTGCGGGTAATGAGACGACTTTTGAGGCGCCTCATTAGCCGGTGTTGGCGGATTATCTCGTGCTGATCTCCTTTGTGAAGAAGAAGACTGCGAGCTTTCACGAGCTGCTTTCCCTTGGCAAGGAGACAGGGCAGTCTTGAAGCTAGGCGAGGTTGCACAATGAGCAATATTGGAAGCGAATACCAGATTGTGCAGCTTTACAGCAAATCGCTGCTGTTTGGGATGTGTTAAGGTTGAGTAAACAATGCTAAAACTGGGTATCCTGGAGGAACGTAGTTTTGGCAATCATCTTGTGCTGCTTCTCTTGTGAGCAACTTGGCTCATTTATAGGACGACAATGCGATTACTCTGCGCACTTTTGTCAACCTTTTTTCGTGCACAACGTTATGTGAACAAGGTGGGCAAACAAATTTGTCGTATTAGAGGGAGTTAGTGCATTTTTTTATGAAGTCTACTCTAAAATTGACACATGACCTCGTAGCAAATCAAGCTCTCAAATTATTTGATCCAAATACGGTACGCCCTCAACCTTAAAGCTCAAGGCCCAAATTGTTCAACCTTACTAAGGTTGCCCTTTGGGTGGTGGGAGAGTAAGGTTGACTTTGTTGAAGTTGGGCTGTTTAGTTTCGCCCAGCTTCTCGCTACACCCTTAGGGTTTTCGCTGACTCAGCAAACCCCGGGGAGAAACTCGGTTTGGTTCTCGAGTCCCAAATTGCACTCACAATATTCTTGGTGTTTCCTTCTCTCCTATTCGACAAAAAAAATGTTGGCCAATTAAATTGCATCGCACTTCACATAACCACAATTCGCAGCCAAACAACACTCAAAACATCACTTTCATCAACTTTAGTAATCTTGCCCCGCGCGCTCTGCAATTTGGGCAGCTTTAACCAAATAGAACCTCGTGTGCTTGTTGGAATAGCGTGATGCCCGCACACAACAGCCTATCACGTGCCATTTTCCGCGTTCACTTCACAGCCAAACGATTTATCGTGTCGACTCGAAAATCGACGATAAATCGTAGTAATGGCGTCGGCGAGCCAGCACTTGCGCGTAGCAGCCAATCAGTCACCGTCTTGCGCGTTCGCAATCTCGCTCCCCGAAGGTGTTTTCTTATGCTGGCGAGCCGGTATTTGCGCGCATAATCTAAGCAATACTCGTTTCGCGCGTTCTCAAGTCAAACCAGAACTATGGCTCATGCGAGACAGGGCTTCCCCTATTTCCCACGCAACGCCCGTGACCCAGCCAATAAATCCGCTCACAGTCAAGCGGTATGGTGGTAGATATTATGCAGTATAAATGACGGAGAACTAACGGCTGGGGTGAGTCAACCCATAGCAGATATTATGCAGTGTAACCTTACCATAGCACGGGAGTAATCTGCTTTTCCGATAACCTCCTGATTCCAAATCGATCTTACCGCTCTTTCTACCCTGGTATCCCTGACCAACGACCAATCATGGGTCAGCGCATCATCGATCACGATCTAGTAAACTTAAAGCACCCTGTGCTTGCCGTTGCAGCTACTATCTGCGTCGTCCTCGCTTCTCTCCTCTCCGCGATTCCATGCGCTGCTGCGCAAACTCTGCCTATGTTAGGGTTGGTTCGCCCAACCACGGAACCTAAGGCGAAAGCATCTACGACGGCGGAATGACGGCGAAATAGAAGCGCGTGTGTGAAACGGTGGAAATCGGCCTACGGTGGGGAATAGAGGCTACGGCGTGAGAAGCGGGAGAGAAATCGAGAAGAAATGTGCTAGAAGGAGGGAGAGAGAAGGAGAAGCATCGAGAATGAGATTGACGAGGGGAAAAATGTGCTTCGAGACCAAGGCGCGTTCGAGAAAGTTCGGGATTCGGACTTGCGGAGTGTTCACCGAATTCGGTTCGGTTGCGTGTGCGACTAGGGGTGAAACGAGGCGCACGCGGTTACTTGGGAAACAAGTGAAGTTACGAATCACATTTTGTGTCTTGCTTGACTATAAACCTGTTTGTACTCATTCTGGAAATACAACATTGATACCAATCAGATTCTGAAAATTGCTGAAGTGTGTATTGACAACTTCAAGCAGAGCTGCGCATATCATTGGATTCGGGAGATCGTGGAGAACACGATAGGCGATAGCAAGTAGACTATTGCCGACTAAGGTGCTTACGATCCTGAGAACTGGTATCAGAGCTGGTTTAAGTGGCGTTTAAGCATTCTTAAGTGCAGAGCGAAGCTTTCGAGATGGTCGGCGGACAATCGGAAGCTAGTTCGGGCTCCTCTGTGAGTATTGGAGATCCCCAAGTGAAGGCACTTCTGGAAATGCTAGCGCAAGGAGGGGTGGTGACAAAGCCCACCATGGGGCTCAGTGAAGCCCAACGATTCCACGGCCAACACTACAGCACGTGGAGATTGAAGTTCATAAGGAGGGCGAAGGAAGTCGGTTTTTGGGAGTACTACCGACTGGATGGAGAAGGTGACGCAGCCGCGCGTAAGGCGAGATCGGATGAAGAAAAGGCGGAATACAAGAAGAGGAGTAAGCATGCGTTTTTTTCAGTTATGTCGTTCCGTTGCAGACGGAATTGCAGTGTGTCTTGATGGTTTTGCAGAGCTTGAGAACTCTGCACAAGCGGCATGGGCGTACATGGAGTCTACATACCTCGGGCACATGGACGCGAATATCGCCGATGTGAGGAAGAAGTTGCTGCTGATGACCATGGAGCCGAACCAGAAGATTATTGACTACGTCAACATGGCGAGGAGCTACAATGATGACTTAACTGCGATGGGCGAGCCGGAAACCGAGCGGGCGATGATCGGGCACATCGTCAACGGTCTACCGGAAGATTGGGCGGGTGAGCGGCCGGCGTTGATCTGCCACCCACCGGAGAATATGACGAAGCTTATTGCCATGCTTCAGGCGTTGGAGCGAGCAAGAGAGCATCAGAAGCGACGGGAGAAGTTTACAAGGGGCTTTGTGGAGGAGAAGCCTGCGTTGGTGAATGCGGCAGCTGCTGGAAGGAGCTCGGGAGCGTGCTACCAGTGTGGACAACTCGGGCATCGTGCGTTTGAGTGTGTGGAGAACCCGAGGAGTAGAAACTACAAAGGGAACGGTGCGGGATGGAGTGGTGGACAGCAACACGGAAGGTTCAATGGTGCGTGCCATCACTGCAAGAAAATTGGGCATCGTGCAATTGATTGCTACTTGAATCCCAACGGCCGTAACTACAAAGGACCGTTGAAGCAGGAGCAGCAGCAGAATGTGGAGGCCAAGGCTAACGTGGCGGAAGCGGAGAAGGAAGAAGAGGATCCGATTTTGGGGGGAGCACATCTTGCGAACGTGGTGCGTTTACCAATGGAGGTTCGGCAGACGGACGGATGTGAGAAGACGACATGGTTCATGGACAGCGGATGCACGCGTCACATGACATTCAGGTCAGATTGGATGGAGAATGTGAGGGAGTCGAGTGAGGATTATATACTGCAAGGTAACAGTGGAAAGTTACCAGTGACAGGAGAGGGTGATGTGGTGCTGCGGAGTCCGTATGGAGTAGTGAAACTGGAGAGTGTGTTGCTGGTTGCGGATTTGAAGGTGAACTTGGTCAGTCAGTCACAGCTTGATGACTTGGGGTGCAAGATATTCTATGACAGTGGTGAGGTGACTGTGTTTGGTCCTGAGTGGGAGAAGTATGCTGATGGTTACTTCAGTGACGGGTTCTATGAGATGAACTTGGTCGCGACGAATGATATGGATGAGATCTATGAGGATCCTGAGTATGGTGAGATGGGAGAACTGGAGGAGTTATTGACTAAGGTTGATGAGAGTGAGGACTCGGATGATATGGCTGCGAGTGTGGAGGCAGCAGTGAAGCAGGAAGAGGAGATAGTGATCACGGATGCAGCAGCAGTAAACGGTGGAGATGGAGACGATGTCAACACTTTTGCAGCAGCGATCGTGGTTGAAGCTGTGAAAGGGGACATCATGGTGAAAGGATCAAAGGCGAATGCAACTGCAAAGGGGCAAGTGCTTAAGGAGGATGAACGCGTTGAAGGGTACGAGACCCGAGAGGTGTTGGGTGTAAAGATGCCGAGGAGAAGCGAGAGGCATAAGAAAATCTCTCAAGGTTTGGATGTCAAGGCGCTCAACTACAAGACACATAAGCAGAGGTTCAAGGTGCAGGAGCTGCAGGGGAGCGTGAAGCCGACTTAGACCCTGTGAAGGCTACAAGGAGCAGGGGAGCAGTGCGAGTGGTGTTCGTGGTTGACGAACCACAGGGGAGATTGTTAGGGTTGGTTCGCCCAACCACGGAACCTAAGGCGAAAGCATCTACGACGGCGGAATGACGGCGAAATGGAAGCGCGTGTGTGAAACGGTGGAAATCGGCCTACGGTGGGGAATAGAGGCTACGGCGTGAGAAGCGGGAGAGAAATCGAGAAGAAATGTGCTAGAAGGAGGGAGAGAGAAGGAGAAGCATCGAGGATGAGATTGACGAGGGGAAAAATGTGCTTCGAGACCAAGGCGCGTTCGAGAAAGTTCGGGATTCGGACTTGCGGAGTGTTCACCGAATTCGGTTCGGTTGCGTGTGCGACTAGGGGTGAAACGAGGCGCACGCGGTTACTTGGGAAACAAGTGAAGTTACGAATCGCATTTTGTGTCTTGCTTGACTATAAACCTGTTTGTACTCATTCTGGAAATACAACATTGATACCAATCAGATTCTGAAAATTGTTGAAGTGTGTATTGACAACTTCAAGCAGAGCTGCGCATATCATTGGATTCGGGAGATCGTGGAGAACACGATAGGCGATAGCAAGTAGACTATTGCCGACTAAGGTGCTTACGATCCTGAGAGCCTACTCCTGGCAGCGACTAGACCGCCGTGGAGAACGCGGCGATGGATAGCGAC